CAAGGATTGCATAGACTGAATAAAGAATAAATTAAGAACTATTACGGTATTACTAACCGATCACTGTAGCTTGAATAATCACCTAAGAAAATTATGAATCCAATCGAACTCAGATTGCAGATACTGTAAAGAAGACAGTGAAACCGCATGACATGTGCTATGGGAGTGCTCGGGACTAATGCACAAGTGGAAGAGGAACATAGAGATTCAAGATTATGAAAAATAGCCTCCATACTGTATTTCATTAGAGAATTCGGATTTGGAGAAACATTGTAATCTGACTATGGGACACAGTAGATCTTTTAGGTCAAGAGAAACGAAGAAATGCTAGGAGATAGAAAGAGATAGAACAATAGAAAGGGAGAAAGAGATATAGAAAAAGCAAAAAGAGGTCAATTTTTCTATTTCGTACAGCATAGAATCATTTTCAAAACTTTTGCTATTTATAATGCACTTGTTTTTTATAACCTTATGTCTTTTTATTGATTTCTAAGTATTAGCCGCTAATTATTACGTATATTCAATGTACGAAAATGATAAAAAAAGTGAATTATAAAAAGAAATACTTAATTTTATAGCATTAAATTAAATATACGCTTATATATATAGTTAAGGTACATATAAACATAGATATGTGTATATATTGTATATTCATCTGTTTTAGAAAAAAATTGTTTTTAAAGGAATTTGTAAAAGAATACGAATATATATGTCCATTCATGAAATTGCATGTGACTGTAGCTATAAAAGTTTTACGATTGTTTAAAAGATCATTAAATGGGAATTAATCCGATATTGTTTACATAAGACGAATTAATCATAAAGTATGCGACTTGGGACCACAGCTGACAGTTGCTGCTACTGCTGTTGCTGACTGCTTAAGCCAGCAAGTTTGGTTGAAAACATATTTCTCATCATCGTTCGATTTCATGACAAATAAGTTAAAGATACATGAAAATACAAAAAAAATTTTTTCTCTTATAAGAAGTCACAATACCTTACAAAAGTATTAAACTAACTACAATACCTTTAGTTATCTGGTATTGTAAATAATATAAAATTATTATAAAATTTAATTTAGATATTTGATATTATACTATTTACTACGTAATGCATTATATAGGTCTTTCAATGAGAAAAATAAGAAAAAGAGAAGAGAGGTAGAATGAGAAGGGCCGATTAAAAGAGAGTGAAACAAGCAGAGACAGAGGGAAAGGAAAAGGAAAAGGGGCAGAGACAATGAGCGTGGGAATGGGATATTAAGAGAGGTGGAGAAACGGGAAAAGGAGAAAAAGCGGGACAGAGGCAGAGGTCACTACTTCTGGAGAGAAATAAATCGAAAGGGATGGTGAGATGGAATGAGAGGAAGGAAAAAAGATAGCCCTCTTTATTAGTATTTAACACATCCGTCATCAAAAGCTATTGTATGTGTCAAACACAATATAATGTTGAGAATATGTTAAAGGAAGTTTGAAAAAAATGACTGAAATTGATAACTGTGTGAAAGCAACACAAAATTAAAAAAAGTTCATTCAATTCTTAAAAAACAATACACTGTCTGAGATAGATATTTTCAAAATACATATAGTATAGAAGCAACGATATGAGTCATGTATGATAATCACTGTTCGAGCAAAAGAATTTTATTTTCCTTTTGAAAGAAAAAGTTTGGGATGCTATTTGGATTAACATAATAAAATATATATATTAGATTTTGATTTCAATGCAATGCAAAAAAAAAATATTATATTTAGTTTGTACTTTGTGTCGTAGGTATGTAATATCTATTATTGTAGAAAAATGTACAATAATTAAATTCGTAGGGAAATGCAATGGACTCATATACTCATATAAGTGGAATTTTACATAGAAATTCACTCTTAGACTTTATCTAAATTAAATATTCAGTTTTTCATCCAAATATACAAGCACATATAACATATGGTAAAAACATTATACGAAATGAATAAATAATTGATCATAATCAGTACGATATCATCGTTAATTTTTAATGATCATCACTTAAGATCAACAAGAAGTAACTTTCATTAAAATTTTATTTGTTTTCGATTCATTTCTTAATAAGTTTTGTACTACATTTGATCTATTTTTTCATAAAAGATACATTTGCAACAAATACACAAAATAAATAACGATCTCTGCATGAAAGTACGGCATTGATTCGACGATAATGCAGGAATCAGCTAAAGTAATTTGATTAAAGTTTTCGGATTCAACGTTTCAATGCGTGGACATTGAAAAATGTATTTATATTAAACCTTTTTTTTGCATAGTTCAGATACATAGTTTAGATACAAAAAAAATGATAAATTTTGAATAAAAAATATCACAGTTTTTGAAGGAATTATCCAGACACGATATGCGATGATATCGTGTTTTTAAGATACTTAGATATGATTTTATTTGCTAGAAATATTTTCGAGTTTTTTTTGGTATGATCACAAATTTTATTAGAAGATCATTGAGGTTCAGTCATTTAAAGTCAAACTGAAAATGTTCCACATTTTTCCCAGTAGGATCATCAAGTTTGTTGAGAAATGTTTCCATTACTTTCGTAGATATTAAATATTTCAATAGTAAGTCAATGATTTCTTCAGCATTTAAAGCTTTATTGTCTAACTTGAAATTCGTTAGATTGCGTTAAATCTATAATAATTAAATATACTGAAAAGGTCATTAGATATATATTGAATAGCATTAAATGAAAATTATTTATTTAAGGGCAGAATAAAGCATATTTGAAATTTTTAAAAATTTGGTTTCGTTAATAAATTATGTGTTTGACTTCGTGCAAATATCAATTCGAACATTTAAAAATATTAATCATTTACAAAATCTTTAACTTAAGGGAAAATGTGTAATTTTTCTATAAATTTTTAATTTAAATTTTGTCTATAAGTAAAAAATGTTAATTAACCCATAAATATCCTTGGTATTGTCTGCAACTAACCACTCAATTATAGGGGTCGTCATACTTAAGGAGTACAATGTAAAAGCTTCATTGTGAAATAAGTAGAGCTTGAGCCGCTAATTTTACAAAGAGAATCACTTGAAAATGAGTATCTTTACGACTCTCTAATACTCATTAATGATCAAAATTTCATTTTATTGCTTTTGCAGAAGAGGCAAACTTTTTTATAAAAACTTTATATTGCTTATGTGATATATTTTAATATATACATATGCTGAAGCATTTTTTTATTGAATTTATATAAACTCATTTGTATAGTGATTAAAATGAACACAATTTTATACAAACTTACCAAGAAAAAAGCGGCTTCCTTGTTTATGATTTACAAAACCAATCTGTGTTTTAGGCAATTTCCTTTTGAGGGCCATACTGGCCCAATTTACCTGAACTGACATAATCAAAATCGTTTACATAAATAAAAAATATAATGTAACATAATACATTACGAGTATAAAATATTAGCTTTATTAAATGGAAAGCAAAAAAAAATCATATATTTATCAAACAGAATAACAGCCCCTAAAAAATTTTATTTTCTAAAGAGCTTTTTAAATACTTGATAGCTGAAGATCTATGGAAATGATTTTGGACTCCAAATGATATTTTTAGTCAATATTATATTTTTGCGCCTTGCTATTACTACTTTTTTTTTGGAACCTGAAGTTGATATTTAACTGATATTACCAGGTATAAAAATATATCTTCCATGTTTTAAAATATGACTTAAATCGGATTTGCAGAAATATAAAATAGAGAAAGTATAACATTAAACTTTTTATCGTTGATTCAAATCTTTGATTCTCTATTTTATTGATAGTAAAGAACTTTTAAAACACATGTGACTTAATCTAGTTTTTTTTTGTGAAATAGGTTATTCGAATATCGAATTAATCTTATTTTTTTATGCAAATCTTCCTAAGGTCTCCATTTCAAAAATATTTCTATTTCTTGTATGGTTGCAAAGAAGAAAAAACCGTTGTCTCCGAAAAATGGCAAATTGAATGATCATCATCTGGATCACAATTACTTAGAAAAACGTACCATTTTTTATTTTAGAAATCGAACATAATTTCTGTAATTAAATTTGTCTATAAATTACTGACTATGATAATGGCTAGATAACCCGTTCTAAGAGTTAATGATTTCTTTTTGAAATACAACCTTTGTTATTTCTTAATAAGCTATGAGAATTGATATGTTGAGCTATGAAAAAGTATTTATTTTAGTACTTAATTTATTTTAAAATATTATTTAAACAATTATTAAAAGTGATTTCGTAGTTGACCTGACTTTCGTATAAAAACAATAGACTTCAAAAAAAGCTGGGTTATTTAAAAAAAAACTGGATTACTTCAGGAAAAACTGGATTACTTCAGGAAAAACTGGGTTACTTCAAGAAATACTAAGTATTTCTTTTAACTTTTTTTGTAGAGACTTGCAATAGAAACAAATAATCAAGCATTTTCTCTGTGATTTGATTACTAGTACAAGTACAAGAATTCAAAGAAGTTCCCTTAGAGAAGTACTTGCTTGACAGTTTGTCGTATTGTTAATCGACAAAGATTGAAGATCTGTTAAATTACTGGAACTCAACAGGATAAATTTAGTTTCACAGCACAATAACTAACCAACCAACCATATAACTGCTTTTTATATATAGTTTTATATATATAATATATACATATAAATAATTATATAAGATATATAATATATACACATAATATTAGAAACATATAAATAAAAACTAAATTCTATAGTTAGAGACCTAATATATACCAAATAAATAAAAATTCTAATGGCTGAGCATGCTTTGGCCGCAGGCTACCTATCTATGGTATGAGTCTTGTAGATCGTGCATGTTCGTGCAATTCTTATCGGAAATTATTTATATATAATTTCCTCACATAAGGAAAGCAGTGAGTATTGAGTGAAATCGGAGTTAACGATTTTCCTATAAAAACCGCACCAAAAAGCTTATTTCTACAATTATATTTTAATTGGGATTGTGTTAAGATCTAGAAATTTTAAATTTCCAGTGTTAACATTAAGTGCGATTTAAAAATAATTACATTGAAGTTAGAATTTATTGAGTGAAATTGGAGTTAGTGATTTTTATATAAAATCTTTATCAAACGTTATTTCTTTATAGTTCCATTTACGACGAGATTGTGTTAAGTTGATTTGTTGACTGAGCTAATATATAACTATAATAATAAATTTTGTGTGTGAAGAACTGAAATGAAATTTTTTTGAGAATAAAGATTTTCAAGTGAACAAAAATTGAATCACCTGATTAAAAAAAAACTGTTGCTGTTCTTCAATAAAATAACTTCAAAAGAAAAGAAAGAAAAATTAATATTTCACTATGACAATGGTGGTATTTTTATAATTATCTATATGCTGTATGATTTCAGTTAATTAAGTCTTGTTAAGTTTTAATGACTTAACATTTCGTTTATTAATTAAATCATAATTTTTGTTTTTTAATTAATTTAAATTAAATAACTTTTTAAATTATTTTTAAATTTATTATTTGGTTTGGTTTTAATTTTTTTTTTAATTAAATATTTTTTTAAATTTAATAAATTTAAATTAATAAAAAAATTCAAAAAGTTTTTACATTATTTGTCAATTTATTACAATATTTTTTTAAAATTTTTTGACTTGGTTTTAAATAGTTTTGTTTTAATTAAATATATTTAAAATTTACTTAATAAACAAATTAAAAATTTTTTGAATTATTTTTATATTTAACACAAAAAATTTTTAAAATTTTTTTTTGATTTAGTTTTAAATTTTTTTTGTCTTAAATATAAAAATAATTCAAAAAATTTTTAATTTGTTTATTATTTTTAAATTTATTATTTGGTTTGGTTTTAAATTTTTTTTTTAATTAAATATTTTTTTAAATTTAATAAATTTAAATTAATAAATAAATTCAAAAATTTTTACATTATTTGTCAATTTATTACAATAATTTTTCAAAATTTTTTGACTTGGTTTTAAATATTTTTGTTTTAATTACATATATTTAAAATTTACTTAATAAACAAATTAAAAATTTTTTGAATTATTTTTATATTTAACACAAAAAATTTTTTAAATTTTTTTTTGATTTAGTTTTAAATTTTTTTTTGTGTTAAATATAAAAATAATTCAAAAAATTTTTAATTTGTTTATTATTTTTAAATTTATTATTTGGTTTGGTTTTAAATTTTTTTTTTTAATTAAATATTTTTTTAAATTTAATAAATTGAAATTAATAAATAAATTCAAAAAATTTTTACATTATTTGTCAATTTATTACAATAATTTTTCAAAATTTTTTGACTTGGTTTTAAATATTTTTGTTTTAATTACATATATTTAAAATTTACTTAATAAACAAATTAATAATTTTTTGAATTATTTTTATATTTAACACAAAAAATTTTTAAAATTTTTTTTTGATTTAGTTTTAAATTTTTTTTTTTAAATAAATATTTAATTAAATATTAAACTTGAATTTTTATTATTTTTAAAAAAATTAGTTAATGAATAAATTTATTCATTTAAAATATTTAAATATTTTTTGATCAATTTATTTGATTTTAAGATTCATTTTAAATTAAAAAAAAAAGTATTTTATACATTCAAAAAAATTTTTTTAACTTAAATCAAATATAGAAAAATGCTAACTCCTTATTAAAGATTTTTTTATATTAATTTAAGTTTAATTATATTTTAAAATATTTCATAATTTTAGTGTTTTAATTTTGACAGTTTATGTTTTTAACTTAATTTTAGTTAAGTTATCATACAAATGTTTTTTAACTTAAACTTTTTTTTAAAGTTTTTTTGAGACTTTTTGCAATTAATTTTATTTCATATTTTGGAAATATATATAATATTATTAATTCAAACTTTTTAATATATAAAGCTTTATTGATGTATTTTAGATCTGTATTTTACAGTTTTTATTTTTTTTGTTACTTTATTTTTTATAAACTTTTTCAGATACATTTCATTTAAATTTATACTTATTTTGACTAGTCTTTTAAATTATAATTTAATTTTTTTTCACACTTTTTTTAAATTTGTTTAACTTCAATTCATTTTTATAATTGTTATACATATACTTTTTTAATTTAGTCAATAATTTTTACATACTTTTTTTTTGTCGAAACTCGTTTAAGATTATTGTTGTTTTATATATATTATTTAAAGTAAGTGTTATTTATAACTTAAACTTATTTTAAAATTTTCTAAATCTACTTCAATATTTTAATACTTTTAATATTTTTTGTCTTTTTTAATATTTACTTTTATTTCATTTTAATTTTAATATCATCACTTTTTTCTAGATTTCTTAATTGTTAATAATTTTTTTACTAATATTTTTTTTCACATTTTTTGTTTTCTTTTTAATTACAACTCATTTTCTTAAATTTGTTTTTCAATTTTTTTTTTTAACATATTTTCTTATTTTTTAAAAAATTTTTTTTTTTCAAATTTTTTGCCTAATTTGAAATTATAATTATTTGAAATTAATTATTTTATTTTATAATTATTTTTGAAATAAATTTTTTTGAATTATTTAAAACTTAAGTTTTTATTTCAATTTTTTTACTTCGCTTCCAAACTTTTTAGATTGTTTTAATTATATTAAATTGGAATTAAAAATTGGAAAAAAAAAATGTTTTAAGTATTTTGAATTTTAAAAATATTTTTTTTATTATTTTTTACTTGAAATCATCTCTATTTGTATTTTGCATTTATTAAAAAAATTTATTTTATTATATAAAATTTGAGTACAATAAAATAATTTTATTCTATAGAGTCTTTAATATTATTATTTTTATAACCTAAATTTGTATATTTTAGATATAATTAAATCTTTTTTATTTTTTTTTAAGATACTGTTTCGTTACAACGGCTCTGCCATGCTTGAGTTGTCTGATGATCTTGTTAGAGTTTTTGATAGCGATGATGAGGAGGAGCCGCCACCATCGGCAGTTTTGGAGAAGTCAATCATTGACTTTGATTTTGTCCAATTTTTAATTGACAAGAATCTTAATCATGTAGCAGGTGCAATTTTTGCTGAATTGGACCCAAAAACCTTACGTGCTGCTTCTTTTACTTGCCGCAAATGGCGCCAAGTCATATTTGAAGAAAAAGTTTGGTACACTGTTTTCATGAAGAAGATTAAAACTAGCACTATTTGGGCCGATTTAGCTGAGTGCAATGGTTGGGAAAAGATAAAGTCAGCTGATAATTTGACACCTAAGCAGCGTGCGATGAAATGCCGCCATTTGTGCAATGTCATCGAGCAGCAAATCCAAAATACTACCAATAACTGGAATGTTGGACGCTATACTCTGATACGTGCCATACATCCACCGAATACTGTCGTAAGTTGCTTACGTGTGGATGAGACAAGAGTACTATCAGTTATTGGGAATTTAATTCAAGTTCGAGATAGAGCTCGCTATCTTCGTTGTGAAAAACTGGAAGGGCATGAATGCAAAGTTTTAGCTTTGCAATTTCATGCTCAATTGGCAGTATCAGCCGACAATGAAGGATATATTAAGTTCTGGTGCTTGGAAACAAAAAAATCAATATATTCTATGCAAAATGATGATGCAGTTGCAATAAATGACTTACGTTTCCGTGACGAGATATTAGTCACTGGTGACAATGTTGGCATAATTGGCATATGGGCAATGAATTTACCTAGCGAAGTTACTTTGATTCAGAATTTGATCGGGCACGAAGGCTCTATTACTTGTCTTGATTTAAGTGATAAGATGCTGGTTTCTGGATGCACCTCTTGTGTTGTTAAAGTTTGGTCAATGGAAACTCGTGAAAATCTATATACTCTTCTCGGTCATACTGAGCGTATTAATTGCATTAAGTTAAGCAACAATTTGATTGTTAGTGGCAGTGCCGATAAAACTGCTCGGTAAGTATAAAAAAATTACAATGTTTTCAATAATTAACTAATATTGACAACTTCGTCTAGTATTTGGAATGCAGAGTCAGGTATATGTATGCGTGTATTGGTCGGTCATACAGGTGCTGTTACTGCTGTGACCTTTAATGATGTGCGTTTGATTACTGGCGCCAGTAACGGTTACATGAAGGCTTGGAACATGAAGGCAGCCCTCGATCCACATAAGCGTAGTGAATATTTGTGTACTTATACTTTACATGAGCATTCATCTGCTGTAACTAACATCCTCTGCGATGAATTCCATATGTTCAGTTGCGCATCGGACAATGCAATCATATTTTGGAATTTCCTATGCCACAAGTAATTTAAAAAATTATGTATTAATTTTACAAAAATCAAAAAAAATAAAAAAAACTCAAATTTTTATCTTATATACACAAATAGATTAGTATTTTATATATATATTTATATATATAGATATATGAGTATTATAAACAGTTATTTTTTTTAACTTTCTATAACTATGTCCTGATTTATTAATTTAAATTTAATTTAAAATTATTATTATATTATTTTCTAAAACCTATTAAGTTCTTGATCATTTTATTTGATTTTCTTAACTTTATCATTTAAATTTCTTCAATTAAAGATTTTATTTTATTTTCTTAAACTTAAATCATTAAAATTTACATTTAATTTTTTAAAATTTATTAAAACTTTGTACGTTATTGAAATTTCGTTTTATTTAAATTTTTAAAACTAATTTAACCTTTAAAAATATACTATAAACTATAAAAGCTTAACTTAATTAACCTATTTTATTATTTTCTAAAACTAAATTAATTTAAAAAATTTTTTTTAAAACCCTTTAATATTTTTGAAAGTTATTCTAAAGATTGAAAATTATTTGAAATTTGATTTAATTTTCTTAATTTTAAAATCAAACGTGTCACGTTTTAAGGATTTTTTTTTTATTTTTCAAAACTTATAAAGTTTTGCATAAATGTTTCCTTCAATTTTATAAAATCATTCAGGTTTCTAAATATCTTATTTTTTAAATTTTATTATTATTATTATTATTATTTTATTTTATTTTTTTTTTATTTTCTAAAATTTATTTCACTTTCTAAAGTTCAATTTATTTAAACTTAAGTATTTAAAAAGTTTATTTATTCACTTCTTTAAATTTATTATATTATTAAAGTATTTCTTTAATTTTCAAAATTTTCTAGTATTTTCGTTTTTTTTTAACTTTTTAAACTTCATTAGAGTTTTAAAAATTTTCTATATAATTCTAAAATTTAATTTATATTCTATAAGTTGTTAGATTTTTAAACATTTTTCTTGACCTTTTTACATTTTGGATTTTATCAAACTCTATATTTCATTTTTTTTTTTTAATATTTGTTTAATTTTCTAATGTATAATTTATTAAAAAATTTTATTTAAAAATTTTATATTAAATTTATTAAAACTTATTACATTATTAAGAATTTTTCAATATTTGAAAACTCATTACATTTAAAATGTAAATCTATTTAAATCTATTTATCTATCCCACTTAAAATTTGTTTTTAATTTGTTTTTTCTCTAAAGAAAAATATTTTTTTCTCCAAAATTTTTTTAATTCTTTCAAGCCTGAGTATTCAGATACTTATTGTGTTATTAAGCAATTTTTTAAATTTCTAAAACTTATTAGGATTTTAATTTTTTAATTGATTAGGTTTTTTAAATTTTATAGAATAAAGCTTAATTTATTTTTTTAAATTTAAATTATTTTAATTTATTACAATAAATAAAATTTATTTAATTTATTTATTTTTTTTATTTTTTTTATTTATTATTTAATTTATTTTCTTTAGGTTTTTAAAGAATTTTTTTACTTATTGTTTTGACTTCCTATATTTTTATAAAAACTTAATTGAATTTTCTAAATTTTTTCAGCTTAATTAAAATTTATTTGATTTTTTAAAATTTAATATTAATAATCAAAAATTTGAATTTTTTGTTTTTTATGTCCTGTTAATTCAATATATTTGAAATAAAAACTAATTTGTTCAACTTCCTTAAAATAACCATCCGAAGTGGTCGAAATATAAATAAATCTTAATAATAAAATTATATTTATAAAAATTTAATAAAACAAATGTGTTTCAAATATATTTACCTAATAGCTTATAAATTTTTAAGTACAATTATTTGTACACGTAATTTATCAACTATAATATTTGAGTTAACATATATGCAATAATAATTTAAATATATATATAAATTAAAATTTTTTTTAATTTACAAAAATTTCATATTATTATATTTTTATTGGAAATAATAATTTGTTTTGTATTTTTGTATCTTTTACAGATTTTTGACTAACAACTGGTACTTTTATTATTAATATCTTAAAGATGCAAGCAAATTATTCAATCATTTTTTTCAACTACACGTATTTTTGTAATATTTATTTTAATTACATTTTAATTACTGACTAAAGGCTTCTTAACAAAAATTTTTACATGGTAATTTAAGAAGATATTAGACTCCAAGAAAAGCCGATGTACTTTTCCTGATTGATTTAGTATAAATAATTTAACAGTAAGCAAACTACTAATGCTATATCTAATTTATCAATAAAGTAGTCTAATATTTGTTGTTTTTTATAATATATTATTTACTGCTGCGTAGCATATTAAAGATACTTTTGCACTCCACGCACTCCACGATTTCATTTCCATTTATTAAGCTTGATTATTTATTGTCTTCAAATGTCACCAACATGAATATATTAATTTTGATAACAATATTATTAGTTTAATAAAAACTTGATAGATTAATATTTATACAGCCTATAAGAATATTTTATTAAAAACAATAATATTATAGAAGTTTACATTTTTATAAGATCTGTGCTTTTTTTGTAAATAAGATAAATTAATTTTAATTTACTTATGTTCTCAGTTTATTAGCAATAAGTAAAGAATATATTTTCTAAATATTTACTGCTATTAATATCTATTTTTTATATATATAATTCATAATAATTAATGGATTTCTTATTATTATTATATTTTATTTATTAAAGCTTTGTATTTCCTTTCTTGGTAAATGTATGCAACAACTTTTGATTTTATTGCTTGATATACAATATATATTATATATAGTATATTAATAAATTTTTATTATTTTCAATTTGTTAATAATTAGTTATAATTGTGTTATTGTCATTATCATATTCTTTGAAATGTTACAATGTATTATAATATGTGTACACTTTATTCTATATAAAATATATATTATACTATATTTAAGTCATTTAAATAAAGTTTAATATGCTTTTTATCACATGCCAGGTATTCACGAGTGCTGACCATTGCTTGTGATCAAGTAACCATGGGTGTCAACCTAGAGCTTTAATTATCATCATTAAAATTGTTTGGAACCACATCTACGGTACTAGTTGTGATCGGTAGTATTATTATTTCATCCAAATTTTAAATTCATTTCTATTTTTATTATTAGTTTTTTTATTTTATTTTAATTTAATAAAATTTGTTTTGAAAATATTTTTTTTAAGTTTTTGTTTAGTTTTATTATTTAATAATATTGTTTAATTATTATTGATATATATATTATTATTGCACAATTATATACTGAAAACAATTAATTTAGTTATTACTTACTGTTTGCATTTTATTATTATTATTAACATTAGTATAATATTTTTAAATAAATATGATCAATGAATATATATATAAACAAAATCACAATGGGTCATATAAACTGCGGCGCTCCTTTATCACTATATCGCTCCAACTTTAATTTAATTTATTATTTATTTCATTTTTTATTTACGCCTATAAATTATAATTAATTTTTACTTTGTTATGATTTGTTTTTTTTTTTATTATATTTATACTATTTTTACTATTTTTACTATTTTACTATTAGAATTTAGTTTTAGTTTTTGGAAATAAATTTAATAACTTTTAATAATAATAATTGTAATTTTTTCTGAACTATAAGTGTATTTTTATTTTTAATATTTAGTATTATTATTACATTACTGCATTATTATTTTTTCAGTTTATATTTAATTAGAGTTTAATATAATATTTCAATATAGTCATATTTTAGATATGATTGTTATAGTTTTCAATTTGTAAAATTAATTAAACAGTATTTTAATATTATGTTAACATTTTTATTTTAATACAAATATTTTAAATTTTATATTGTCTTTCTTTTTGTTTGTTTTATGTTCCATAAAATTGTTTTGAACTTTGTAACCTGTCGTCACTTTCTTATTACCATATTCTATTAATTTTTTGTTATGTATTATTTATAACTTTTTATTATTATTTACTTATTAATAATTATTTACTGCAATTTTTTTATTATTGTTTATATACTATTATATAATTGTTATTATCTACTTATTAATATTCCTTTATTGCTATGTATTCATTACTATCTACTTATTACTATTTAATTATTACTATTTATTTATTATTATTTAATTATTTTTGTTTATTTATTATTATTTATTTATTATTATTTATTTACTATTATTTATTTATTATTATCAATTTGTTTAAATTTTTTTTTTGAATATTTAATATATGTCTATACTAGAGTATGTTCTTGGTTGAAAGGTTTATGAATAAATCAAACTACATTTATGCTCAGTAGTTTGTTGAAATGTTTAAATATTAATTTATATTTATCCTTTTAAATTTAGATACGTTCCTCTTCAACCGAACGAGATCAATGATATATAAACAGAAGGACTTTAATTGGTTTAATACCCTAATTTCAAATATCGTAGATGAGTGGTCATTTGAATCATATTAATATTATAATCACACATATAGACATATAAAAATGGACAACCATTTTCAATATTTTAACCATATATTAATCATATTATTATACTTATATTCTTAAATATTTTCTTTAAAGGAATTTGTTACTACATAATCAGTTATTACTATATATTCAATGTGTTACTATATATTCAATGTGTTACTATATATTCAATGTGTTACTATACATTCAATGTGTTATTTAATAAACTTTAATGGAAAAAACTTATATCAATTTATTTAATTTTTTAAATTTATGGACATATCAATTGCAATGAAGCTAACATAAGTGAGGACGAATATAAGCATGGATTAATAGTTATTCACACAGATGTAATATTCTCTTTGAGATCACAGTTAAACTGCAACATAGTTTTAAATAGACTCCCGCTTAAAATCTGCTAAGAAGAAATATACTTTCCATATGTAGAAAGAATTTTTCTAGATTAAAATTTATCATTATATATAGCCATGTGCTAGACAGTTACGTATCATGCATATATGCATCAATTTCTAATGTGTGCTCTAATTAGAGGCACACCTTCTGTGATATCGTTCATTTGTTTTTCTACTCCCAATGCAGGCACAAATTCAAGTCCTATCGATCTTTGAACATGTTCCATAGGAGGGGTTAGGTTTTCTGCCTTGATACTGATTGATTTCAATTTAAGTCTCACCTATCCATTCTCATTGTTCCTCTCTCACACTCTATTATCTAACCACATTCTAATCCATGTGTACTTTTTTGTAATTTTGTCATTTGCTTCACAAATGCTTGTGAGCTCAAATTGTCTATCTATCAACAGAATATATTAAGGTCAAATTGTCAGCAAATTAGTTAAGTAGTGATATATATAAATAATAACAGTTATTACTTAATGCCAAAATGTTAAAATGTTAATTGAAAATTAATTTGTTTGTAATTCATGGAATACTAATTACTTACTGTGCTCAAGTCAGGCATACTCCAAAGCTTAACTCCATAATAGTCTGAAGCACATATCCTCAAGTGGTTTAAAAATCTATTTCGCAAATTTTTCGATATTCAAAATATCCTTTCTCTTTCTTCATAGCCTATACGAGATCTGCGGTTATGTACAAAAATACAATCAAAATGTGGCACAATTTAATTACGAAATAAAATGGAGCATATCGACTGCAGTTCATACCCGAATATTCTACTTTATTATTGTTAAGGCCGCAATAGAGAAGCATACTTCCATCTACGAAACACTCCGATACATAATCGCGCAGACGTTTCGACAGACCAGGGCAAGCATTCCTACCTACAACTACCTACACTCATACACTTGAGTGCATATGTGGAAAACAATGTATTTCGATGCTTAAACAGCTTATCTTATACAGTTGCAATTACTGCCGGGATTTCGGATTAACACCCAAATTGACAACACTGGGCAGCAATAACAATGACGGCAAGAGTATCAGCAACATTTACAAAACAGAACAAAACGCCAAAAAAAAGAACACCAACAACACATAAGCATCCTATATGAAGTGCGAAGCAATCAACCTCATGGCTGATATTGCTCCTCCTGTCGTATCTGCTGGTATGTCGTTGGTGCTGTTGGTGCTGTTGGTCCTGTCGATGTTGCTACTGGCACGTCCACTCCGCTTGGTTGGCTTGCAAAACGCTAGCAATTTTAGGCTTAGTCGCTGGCTGTTGTACCAAAAACGATACAAGAGGAAAAAGGTTTTAGCGCTGGTAAATTTGCTGATATTGCGGTGTTCGGCCGTTGTAAATGCCTGGCATTTCCGGTTAATAGAATTCTACAATACAAGTAATATACAGAGTATTTGCAATGAATATGTGTAGTACATTTGTTCATTGCGTGTAGCATTTTGCATTTAAATGTTTTTTCATAGTTCGGCTTAATGGAAAATATTCCGATAAGTTTCGACGAGGCTTAACGCAACGTTTGCCATAACATAGATAGGCGTGTGTAGATACAAACTATCGTGTTAGCAATGTTATGAATAGTTCAATGAAATCGGAGTTGTGGACTAAATGTAGGCTTCCATTCAATAAAAATCTGGCTCTATCAATATAAATTAGAATAAAATTAATTTTATTAGCATGAAATGTAATGCAATAAACCCACTGGAATATTTACTTAAACAGTTTTGCATTTTGTTAAAACATTTATTGTTAAATCATATATATATTTATTTTATTCATTTATTTGTTAAATTAAAATATTTTTTATTAATAATTATAATATTTAAATAATAATAATTTAAGACATTATTTTAGTATACTATTTGTTATACGCATTTGATAAAAAATTTTTATAATTTATTTCGTTATATAAAAATATTAATTATATTGTTGTTATTGAAATCTGTGGAGAACGTATAGCATATATATAGTATATAACATATAAGGATATGGCTAGGTAAAAGAAATGTGGACTGAAAGCCATTGCTTAGAAACCAGAACGCATTGGTAATGGATGAGTTGTGATCAAAGTCAACTTGGGTCGAAGTGGATGAACCTAAGAGTTGTTGTATTCATTGGGATATGAAAACAGGTGGGCGACATCATGGGGAGTAGAACAGCATTTAGGGCATTATATTCATATGAACACACTAAAATAGGTGTTATTTTTAATGTAACATTAATGTTAATGTAGACATTCTTAATCCGCATAAGAAAACAAAATGATATATTCGTATATCTGTCAATTCACTTGGTATAAAAATATTCCTATATCAAACATTATAATTAATTAGCATTTGACTAAAACTAAGAACGTCACCGCACTAATACATCTAACGAATACGCAATAGCAAAAGTACATCTCACTAAAGTGCAAAGTAGAGGAAGCTATACAGGGAGAATCTACCAGAGCTGTTACAATCTAAATCGCTTATAGAAACTTTTAATCTAAAACGAAGAAAATCATTCTAACGTAAACATAAAAATAAAATAATCCATAATTAAAAATAATTTAATAATTGTTAAAGTAATTTTGACAGAGCTTCCTAGGTTAGACTACCTGTAAATTTTGTAGAAAAGATAATGATTCGTCAAAACACGTACTGGGAGTTTATTCAACATTGATGCATAAACAAAAGAAGTCTTTAGGCAAGCAACTCATATCTGATGAAAAACTAAAACTCTGCAATGCGGATTCAAAATAACAATTAATAGAAGAATCTAGAATTTGAATTAGAGAAGTATTCTGCAACTACACGAAGGAACACTATAGATCACTAGATCGCTTGTAAGTACATATAGATTTGAGCACGATCTGTTAACTAGTCTGTTAACATCAGTTGTATCTGCAATTATACTCCTAAGTGTTCCGCAATGGCACAAAGTTAAGCATAAGCAGGAGGTCTTTTTACTGAACCAACAAATGCGATCGCTTCAGCAGCGTACTCATCTGACATCACCCCGTATGGCTTTTTTCTGTTTCCAAAGTTTAAATGATCAGTGCAAAAAAGGCGTTTCGATTAGATTGCGATTGTGAAAGAGTTTAAGTCTATACTTAAGTCAGTCCAGGAAATATGTCTCAAAAATTGGGGCATTTGTGAGTTAATAATAAAATTAATTGTTTTCTAAGAATATGGAACTGGATTACGAAGTCCTTCGCTCTGGTATATAGTAAATATATTATATTAACATATATTCCATAAAGTGTTTGATTTTTAATATATTAATATGGAAAGATTTCACACTAAATCTCGAAATATTTATAAGAAATGCTGATATTAATATAGGTCTCTTTTTTCCTTTGTAAAATTAAACACATATAATAAAGATTTTGATTAATGTGAAATTTTTAATCAAAGCATTAAAGGTATTTTTAAGACATTTAGCTGAAGGGTATTTTACTCAATTTAGATCGAATACAGAATATCTCTTATTATTTCATTTTAAATATTAATTATTTATTTATCACACTACACAATTTTTTCGAAAACTTTTTTTCAATTTATTATCCTTATTGGAAAGGATGTTGTATGGAGCCTGTTGGGTACTGCTTGTGGTGTTTATATATTCAGTGTTGTTTTGAAATTATGCTATATTATTGGAATTCCCTAATCGTTTTAATTAGTTGGTTTTGATTTAAACAGATAAACAAACGCTTCAATAGGCGGATAATCAGTAATAATGTAATATGCCGCATAGTTTAGTATGTGTTCTGCTACATATATAAATTGACTAATGAAATAAATTAAAAAGTAATTAATTTATTTTTATTATTTTTATTAATAAGAAATTATGAGCAATACTTCACCTAAGTAACATAATTTAAGTCAATATTTATGCAACAATTTGGCAGTGAAATATTATTGTTCCACACACAAAACTAAAGAAAAGGAAATAATTAAGGATAATGCAGCTATGAGTGTTACTAATAATATGATAATATATAATATAACATTTTTTTTTATACAAAAAGTTTGAAAATTAAATTAATTATTATAATTATGGGACATAATCACTATAAAGCGAAATAGGAAGTAATTTTTGTGACATGAAAATATGTTATTAATCATATTTACTTACAAAATTCTCTAATGTTGATTTCAAAAAACAGAAATAAATCAGAAAATAGTTTATTTTTACAGTAACTTTATTTTGAATATAACTTATATATAGTTTCAATAAATTCGCATATGTGTCTGCGGTGAGGGACACCCGGCCAATTACAGAGGTTGTATAGTAGCCAAAGAACTTCAAAAATTGAGAAACAAAAAAATTGGTGAACAAAACAAAGGTAAACAGCGTAATCATATATCGGCTGAAAACCAACCTGAAAATAATCAAACTGATGTTCTAAATAAAAACCCAAAATCGCTGAATAATAAAAAAATATATTCGGATGTAGTTCAATCCAACACTGAGGACGATGGTAATTACAAAATACTAACACAAATACTGGAAAAAATTACTACTCAAGAAAACTTTTATAAAGCATTGGACAAACGCTTGACTAGGCTAGAGCAAAAACTCAACAAAACAAATAATGCTTAGTTATATAAAAATAATGTTATGGAACTCGAACGGTCTTCTTCAACACCTTAGAGAGCTTGAAACAGTCCTATCAGTCAAAGATGTTGATGTTTGCTTAATTAGTGAAACTCATTTTACTAACCAAACATATGTTAAACTAAAG